TCTAAACATAGTAATTAGCAGATAAAGATTACTAATCAATATAGAGACGCGGAAGGAGGGCGGATTAGAAGGGGCTTGATTTTACGAATGCCAATCACCAATTAGCATTCTATTTTTTGATATGTACTTCACACTGGTTTATGCTAATGTTTGTAGAAAGCCAGTAGGGTACAGCAAGTCGGGCGTGAGGATGAATACTCGCCAAAGACATTAGCTAGTGGTCGTACCATGTAATGAATTGGCATAAGTTGGAATTCATGGACTGGCCATTGGATTGGATCCCAGTGGCTTAATAGTCTACGAGCTCGCCTTGACACCAGAAGGTTCTGGGTTTGAACTACTGTGGTGGGTGCGTATTGCTGAAGGGGAGTCCTTAACTAGGCAGGGCGAGACAGCTGTCAATTACTGCCCCTCCCCTGTTTGTTTCCAATGTTTCTCTAACCGAGGTCACCTCATGATGAAATCCTGTAAAAAATTAATATAATTTACAAAATACCATGTAATGACTGTGGGGTCAGTTACATAGGCTAGATAAGGGTCAGTAAGATTATTGGAATGTAAAAATTTAGATGGATCTAGAATGATTGACCCTGATAAATTAAATAACCTGGAAAAAACAGAGTTCGGCCACTGCAACTCAGAATTCACTTTCATGTAACCACACAATAGGCTTTGTTAGTGGGACAGGGTGCTAGTACTAAAAGTTAATTTGCTAGGTGGAGAAGGGGGGAGGTTAATCACTGAATCTTTTGTTTATCCAATCAGCTAACCTCACACGTGCAATCGGAGTGATGCAAAACTGTACTGAAGATATGGAGAGTGGTAACAAACAACAAGAGACAGAGGTAGAGAGAACAGTATATATATAAGACAGATTATGAAGCCTAATTGAATTTTAAATTTTCCCGTCGATTGATTGGACCGAAGTGCTCGGTCTCAGGTTGACATGTCTGTTGGCTTCTTGTGCAGATGCTTCGACGATGATGTCTGGGCATTTAGTTAGTATTTAATTAGTGGATGGTGACTAGCAGTGGATTCCAGGATGTGCATTTCGTCCATCCATGTGACAAGTCCCAGATGGGACGAAATGCGCGAAATGGCGATAATTTTTGCTGGAAACCTTGTCACCCACTTGTTAATACTGGATTATCACTGTGTATGATATTTGAATTAAACTTATCTTATATGGAACCTAGTCTAGTTTACTAGCTCACTTGTTTTATAGACGGTCTCTAAGCCAGAGAAAATAGGGGAGGTTGAGACAGGGTTGGGCTAGCAACCCCAGACTACGAAAAATTAACCCAGTCGATGAACTACGGAAACTTCAGAACTCAAGAAAATATATTCAGAATACAAAAAGTATGAAAACAAATTCATTTTTAATTCACTGGAATCAAAGAAAACAGAATGATATCTCCTAGGATGGTGAAAGCCTTCAGGAAGCCAGTCAGTCAACCTATGTGAAACTCTTCCGATTGAAGTAAAAATAAACATGTGGATGTGGAGTGCTCGCACAATGTATGGTCGGTTGGGAAGGCTTCCCAGCTAGGTGAAAGATTTAGGGAGGCAAGATACATCCTTCATCAACCTGAAATCAGTGTGAAAATCTCCCGCTTCTCTCCACCGAAGCATTAAGGCGAACAACATTCAGATTCTTTTCAACACCAATGTTAAATCAGTCAGTCAGTCAGTCAGTCAATTTGTCTATCTGAGTCAGAAACTCGGTCACCACTTCACGGGAGGCATTCCTAACAGGCTACTGAGACAGGCCTTTTTTCAAAAGCTGTCCAATTCCCGCCTCCATTTTGAAGATCAAATGTCCGATTGGCCAGAATAAATTATCGACAAGAAACTCTGGCAGTCAACGAACCAGTCAAGCAAGACCCTATTGCCTAATCAACAAATATTCAGAAGAAGAAAATGGAAGTGGACAGATAGATGGATAGGACATACATACGATGATAAGGACTTTGAATTTTTGACTTTTGATTATAGCTTGATTCCACATAGCACTTTTTGGCAGAAGTATGGAATTTTCAGCATGTGATATCGGTAGCCCAAATTTCGTAGGCCAACCGCTGATGTCAGGTGTTCGTCGGCAAGAGATCGAAACCCAGATCATGTTCATGGTCGGTGAGAGTCCTAACCACTGTGCAATCGACGCACAGGAGGCTGTCCAGTGACATCTCACTCTAACCAGGCAATCGAGATGACGAGTTGGGCGTGTGGGGACCTGAGGATGATGTGGAGAAGATTGTGTAGTGAAGAGAAGGAGGAGGAGGAGGAGGAGATGACAGACTGTGTACGATGTTGGTGTTAGCTAGCTAAAGAGGATCTCAGATAACAGAATGAAGTGGGGATGCGCTCTGGCTGTTGAAGCCGCATTTTCCACTCTGAACTCAGGGGAATAATAATCATGGAATACAGTTCAAATGCATCTCCATGAGTGATAATATACATCAATATGACACTAAGCTTATTGATTATCAGATAAGTTAAAGGAAGTAAAACAGAATTTATGAATTTCTATAATTCCACAGCAAGCCAGGTTAGCAGTAACGGCTGGAATTGTGACTGTCGTGAACAACTACTCGATTCGACCAATTATCTACTGAAGATCAGATGGTCGGTCAGCCATCGAGAAAGGATAAACAATCAACAAGGAGTTCATGATGAAATCCTTAACCAATACTTGAATATCAATGAGATATTCACTGGCTACTGGCCCTATTCAGGTAAGTAGTTACCTAGGGCTTCAGTGGGAAGTCGTGACCAGTAGGGTGCAGCAGGTTGGGTTCGAGGACGAATACTCGCCGAAGACGTGGCTTACAGTCACACTATATCGTGAATTGGCGGGCGTGAATTCACGGGCCATTGGATCGGGTCCCAGTAGCTTAGTGGTATGCGAGCTCGCCTTGTAATCAGAAGGTCCTGGGTTCGAACCCCGGTGGTGCGTGCCGATGAAGAGTCCCAAACTGGGACGAAACAGCTGTCCAATACTCCCAGGTTTTCCAATTGTTCTCTAATCAATGTCAGCTCATGATGAAATCCCGTAACCAATCAACAGGGAGGTCTGGCCGACTGTAAACAATAACCAACGACCTATTCCCCAATAGATATGCAGAATGAAATAATAAAGAACGCACTGAGTCAAACTCTGAAGAGACGACAATTGACTGAACTCACATATTAGGCTGGTACGCTTCCAAGTAGGGAAACTCGAATAAAAATTTAGCAAGGAGTTGGGTATAGATCTTATGGTGACATCAGGAAGAGATTATGCGAGACAAGAGTCAGACTGACTGGCTGACTCAACTACATTACTAAGTAATCTAAACGTTAGTGCACTTAGCTGTGGAACAACTGTTGTATTAGGAGTGTTAATGCTAACTGGCTATCTGAGCTGTAGTAGACAAAGAAGTGGTCTATCTAGCCTGTAACTCACTCATTAGCTTGCAGCCAAAGAAGTATCGAATTCGATAACACGGAACGCTTATTATCACCATCATCATAATAGTTAACTTGGATTCCAAGTGGAATACAGGGTTTCCTCAGCCGGTTGTCAGTTAACAGTCTCCTCAGAGTTTGTCTAATCCATTTGGATTTTCTTCGGAATATTTGTTGTGAACAGGCAGTTGGTTTCTTGATTGGTTCGTTCCCTACCATATTTTCTTGTTGTTAATTATTTCTTTCTGTCTATTCGATCTTCCTATGGAGCCAGCCAAGAGGGCTGCTGATGATAAAAGCCTTCAATAGGTCTGTTGGAAGTGCTTTGCACATTTTTTACTTATACCTTGATTCCACATAGTATATTTTGGTACAAGTATGGAATTTTCAGCATGTGATATCGGCATCCCAAATATAACAGGCCAACCACTGATGTCAGGAGTGCGGCGGCCGGAGATTGAACTGTAGACCATGTGCATGGTCGACGAACGTCCTAACAGCTGTGCAACCGAAGCACGACCCAAGTCTCTGGCCCATACAGAAATGCTGACTGACTGACTGACTGACTGACTTAACATTACTGTTAACTGGAATCCTAATTTTGTTGTTTATGCTGAGGCGGAGCGCTGTAAGAAGATTTCCAAATTGTTTTCAGAGGAATATGATTTACAGGCATCTCGTTTCACATCAACGAAACAACCACTGGAATCTAACAGTGTACACTGTTGAGTAAAACCACTCGACTATACTCTTGTCCACTCCAAGTAAAATACTAAGCAGCGTCATCACCGAGAGAATAAACGATGCATTGGATACAGAACTCCACCAAACCAGAACAAGCTGGATTCAGAAAAGGCTACAAGTGAGATCGTGTGTCAGTCAATTCATGATTGGTAGTTAGTTCTTGAATCATCAATAAGGCAAATCTCCACCAAAAAATCGGTCGATATCATCAATTAGACAGGCAATTATTCAAAAACATTCATCAGAACAGAGTACTGAATACCTGTTATTTCCTCCATCCTTGAAATTACAAAGCAAGGGGAGGGGGGGTTTTCAAAGTTAAGTTCCACTGAAGTTTCCCAAAAATCTAGGACTGGAAACGGTTTCTGGGTCCTCTCTAACTTACTAAATGACTGACTCACTGATTGAGTTCCAGCAGAGAGATAAGAGAAAAGAGACGCAATGTGGTTGTGGGAGAAGAGAAATAATAGTAACTGTAAGCAATCTCGAAGGCATTGGTACATATTATCCTATGAGAACCCTAGTCAACTGCGTTAGCTGAAACTGTAAATGTCAGAGTATTTATAGATTGATGCCATATAATTGAGCACTGTTGCATCAGAAAAAAAATGATAAATGAGGGAGGCGACAGTTCGGCATTCACAACATACACACATACGAAATCAAATCAATCCCTAATAGGAATAACATTAATAATAACAAGCCTAAAACTGACGCTTGAATTCTTCTACAGAGGATATAAATGAGCGGAAAAAACCAAATGAATGAAGGTAGGCAGGAAAGAGGGACAAACAGTCAGTCAGACTTACCGCTTTGCTTGATTCTTTAATCGTTCACTTTTCATCATGGATTTTGGACGTTTCGATTGAAATCCACGTTGAAGGAAATTCTATATATATATGTATAGAAATCAAAATGATATCGATAATAATAAGAATAGTGATAATAATGATAATGATAAAGGTGTTAGTTCATTCATTTCCCCACCTCCCTCTCTCTCTCTCTCTGTAAAAAATATTTGTAATAAGGGTAAGAATAATTATTATTGTCACTATAGTAGTAATAATATTGTTCCTCTGATATCCTTTATTCCAAATGAATCCAATTTATTATTCTATTACTTTTGGCACACTGTCACACACCTGTACACATACACACCTCACGCACACACACACACCCAAGTTCTACTTTAAATTGGCACATCCATCTGTCTGTCAATCGACCATCGATTTTGTTTCATATTTGTAGTAAGTATAGGGGGAAGTGTGATACACGTGTGTATATGTGTGTGTGTGTTGTGTACGTGCCTGTGTTGTGCCTGTGCAAGGGAGAAATATAGACAAGTTTAGATAGACGGACAGACAGATGACACTTACACCACACGTGAAAGCATTTCGGCGAAAATTAGAATTATGAAATTATTCTTTTTGATAAAGAGAAAAATTTTTTCTGACACACTCGATTTTTAGCAACTAGGGTTGGTGGGAGAGAGATGTCACTATTTTTTTTTAGTTTTTCAGATGATAACTCACATACATCAGTGTACACTACGGATGGTTGGGGGTGTTTACCCCGATCACCTCATCGATCACCCCCTCCTCAGTGCTAGGATACCTATTTGTTTGATTGCATGGAGGATTTAATCATGAGCTGACATCAGTTAGAGAACCACTGGAAAACCTGGGAGTACTGGACAGCCGTTTCGTCCTAGTTTGGGACTCCTCAGCAGTACGCACCCACCGGGATTCGAACCCAGGACCTTCTGGTTACAAGGCGAGCTCGTAGACCATTGAGCCACTGGGACCCGATCCAATGGTCCTTGAATTCTAACTTCTGCCAGTTCACGACATAGCGTGACCACTTCGCAATGTCTTCTTCGATGAGTTACTGCCTCATCTTCGACCTGCTGTACCCTACTGGTCACGGCTTCCCACTAGAACCCCAGGTTAACTGCCTGAATAGGGCCAGTCACTAGTGAGCATCAGATGAATTTTCAAGTATTGGTTTTTGTAGGGATTTTGTTTGATTGCATGGAGGATTTAATCATGAGCTGACATCAGTTAGAGAACCACTATTTGTTGATTTTTTTTCGGTACTTTCAACATGAATTAAATTTTTTTGTAAATTGAGCAGTTGCTACTCAAAAAAATATATATTGATCAATACACACGCACAGTCTCACACACACAGACACATATTTTGCTAAAATAACTGTCAATATTGGCAATAAATAGAACAAAAGTCATTAATGAGTTCTGGAGATTCCATTTGCTTCTAAAGTTATTTAAGGATGATATCCGCTGAAGCCGTTACTTGCAGAGGTCGATTAGTCTCTTCTCCTATGTATGCGTGTCCACATGTATATTTGAAATGGTAAACACAGTGGGATGTGACGTCATTTTACGTATTTTTTAAGTGTCTAGATGAATATATGAGCTTCACATTCTCAACTATTCTCAATAATAACCGCATAAAATATTTTTAACCACCCCCAGCTTTCAGTCATTGTGGAGCTACCAAACGGCTACGATCACTCATCCGTAAGGTAGCTGGATTTATTTGTCGTTCTTAATGGCAAGCTGGAGATTGTGTCTTGGTGTTCCACTCCTTATCAACTCGTCTGGACAACCAGAGTTTGTGTCACTTTTCTTTCTTGATCAGTAAGCTTGTCTTAAGTGCATATTGGTTGGATTCTACTGGAGAGGCACCTCACTCATTAAGCTTCTTTTTTACTGAACTCGTTGACTTGGAATATGCAGACGATATATCCTGGAGGGAAAGTCTAACCTGCACAATTTGTCCCCCAAAGATGTTAGGACCTTAAAAGAAGTCTTTTGGACCCAGAAGGGGCCGACAGACTTTTTTTGTAAGAACAGGGTAGAAGCTGCAACAATTAAAAGATACCGTCCTGTTGAAGGACCATTATTGGTGAGAACAGACAACCTAGCTCGTCTATTGAGCAACACATTATAGAGAGAGGAAGTAAAATTGATGTTTATAAGTCTTTTGAAACTATCTAAAGAACAAAGGGATTTTTTAAATAACAAATCTGATCACAAATTGAATGGTGCCTAACCATAAGGTGGGTGGTGGATCAAACACAGGATTAATCGAGCATTTACTAGTTCGACTGACTCACTGATTGATGAAATACAGGAGCATGGAGTTGACTGACTGCAGATATCGGATGTTAGGCCAAAAATTCACTGATAAATTTCCGCTATCAGATGCAGTTGCACGCGCTACACATAATGGGAATGTATAGAAGTCGGAATTATTGATGATAACTTGGCCATATTTCCCAGTGTGTAGTTGGATTACCGCGAACGAGTTTGGCTTGTGGTCTGTAAAGCGTCTGGGTCCTGAGGTGATAAGTGTTTGCTTGAAGAGGAGTCCTAAACTAGCCGTCTTTAGCCACTGGTTTTCAACTGTCTTCTTTAACTGGTATGCTTAGTCAGTCTTTGACCCAACACGTTCTTCAGAAACGCGAGAATGAAAAATGTTCCCTTTGTTTACATCAGTTTCGGCCATCCCGTTGATTGACTCGAACGAGGCACTTGGCATCAGATTGACATGTCACCTCATGTGGGCATTGGTATAAGAATGGAAGTTGTGCACTTTGATAGAGTATAATTCCATTTTGGGTCAAATTCATTTTGATAAAGTCTCACAGTGTATTATACAGTAATGTTTACTGATGACTTTTCGAGAACAATTTATCATTACTGATAATCATATCAAGGTACTCACACAAATTTCCAACATCGTTTATATGATTCTAGTATTCTTCATCGCTTGACTTGATTGGTAGTTGTATTTTCCATATTTCGGGTATGAGTGATGAGTCATTCCTACTGAACGTGTTGCGTGTCGATTCTATGAACAAAGATTCAGTAATCTAATAGATATTTAGACTTTAATTCATCTCATCCATTCACTGTTAAGGCAGGCTTAGTTAAGTTAAGTGTCTAACAAACCGAGTAGTATACCTGAAAACCTAAATGATGAAGTGAAACAGATAGAAGAAGTAGAAGAAGCGTAAATAACTAACCATCTTATAAAATTCATTCGGAAGATCAAAACAGGTTTATGCAGATGGCGATGGGAGGAATAACAAAGGTAGTAATATGTGTGTGTATATGTAGACAATTCAATAAATAAATAAATTAGGTCAAATCTTAAAAGTTACGTAATACTAACTGTAGGTGAAGTGGACAGATAATCAAAGTTTAAATAAATATCATAAAAGTACGAAGGAGATGGAAGATAAGAAAGGGTGGGAGGGTTTTGAATAGAATTCACCTAGGCCAAGGGAAAGACAAAGGTAGAACAAACTTATTTTGTATGCAAAGACTAGGATTGTTCTCTCGGATTAATTGTCATAGCTTCGGCTAAGTGTAAAAGATGGGTTATGATTCCGTTCGAAAGACTCTATGGAATGTGATAGATAACTTTGAAGGCACTATTTTTATCCACTTACTCACCACTATCAATCAAATGAGCCAAAATAGAACATCTTATAGATTTTATTCGACCTTTTCCGAACCATGAAGGAAGATGCTCATTAATGCGTTTGTTAAGCTGTCTAGTTGTTCGCTCTATATAGCTTTCTCCACAGGAGCAACTAAATTTATAGATACACATGGAAGTGGCACAGCTAGGTAGCTTGTCTTTCACTTGAGCGATCATAATTGGCCGTCTGGAAAATGGCAAACAAAGGGTGGCTGCAGTATTAGTCCGTTTTATCGCTCCCAATAATCTCAGATGAAAGACTTCACTAGCCATGTCCCCATTAAACTGCACTGTCATGAAAAGCCTTCGAATGGAATTCGAGACAGCCTTTCACACTTAGCCGAAGCTATGACAATTAATCCGAGAGAACAATCCTAGTCTTTGCATACAAAATAAGTTTGTTCTACCTTTGTCTTCCCTTGGCCTAGGTGAATTCTATTCAAAACCCTCCCACCCTTTCTTATCTTCCATCTCCTTCGTACTTTATGATATTTATTTAAACTTTGATTATCTGTCCACTTCACCTACAGTTAGTATTACGTAACTTTTAAGATTTGACCTAATTTATTTATTTATTGAATTGTCTACATATACACACACATATTACTACCTTTGTTATTCCTCCCATCGCCATCTGCATAAACCTGTTTTGATCTTCCGAATGAATTTTATAAGATGGTTAGTTATTTACGCTTCTTCTACTTCTTCTATCTGTTTCACTTCATCATTTAGGTTTTCAGGTATACTACTCGGTTTGTTAGACACTTAACTTAACTAAGCCTGCCTTAACAGTGAATGGATGAGATGAATTAAAGTCTAAATATCTATTAGATTACTGAATCTTTGTTCATAGAATCGACACGCAACACGTTCAGTAGGAATGACTCATCACTCATACCCGAAATATGGAAAATACAACTACCAATCAAGTCAAGCGATGAAGAATACTAGAATCATATAAACGATGTTGGAAATTTGTGTGAGTACCTTGATATGATTATCAGTAATGATAAATTGTTCTCGAAAAGTCATCAGTAAACATTACTGTATAACACACTATGAGACTTTATCAAAATAAATTTCATCCTTGTGGGCATGCTACAACGATGTGTGATCATTTAACTTGAAGTAAATTGATGGACAGTGACTAGTGGTGTGCAGAATCCAGGATTCGCATGTCATTTGATACCAGAGGTGTTCGAAATCAGAAGAATCTTTTTTTCCTTATAAAGCCGAATGAGTGCATAATATTTCCCCGCTTATTCCATTTAGATTGATGAATGTTTTTGTGTTGCTTTTCCGATCCAATCCAATCTGATCCGGTCATGACACTGTCTGACTGTCTGACATCCTTATTTGTACCTTGCGCTACATGTA